GGTATGTGTTATATATATATATATATATGGAAGAAGCTAGGGTGAGCCCACTAGCTCATGGAATAGTATAAGCCCAATGGCCCAGATTGAATCAGGGTCGATCTGACGGTCAAGACTGTATATCGGTAATATAATTTTAATATTGTTCTATATAAATCCAAAAGGCATGAAATTTGGAGCATAAACACTTCTCATCAAAGCGCACCTAATAAAAATATTAAAAAATTAGTTTACATAAAATAAATTCATCAAAATACCCCCAAAACTTTTCAATGGTATTTTGATCAATTTAATTTATGCGAATTACTTTTTTGATATTTTTATTAGATTCTACTGTTCTTGAAAAATAGACGCTCCAAATTTCAAGTAATTTGGATTTGTAGAAAATAAAATAAAATTCAATTACGAAATACAATTGTGATCATTGGATCGGTCCATATTCAATCTGGGTCGTTGGGCTTACACTGTTCCATAAGCCATTATGCGAATTATATATATATAGGTTGTATAAAGTTGCCTCCTTAAACTGTAAAAATAAGGCACACCTATAAAATTTACCTAGAGATGTCATTTCGGTGCCAATAATCTTATGTTGGCTCGAAAATATCTTTTCATCCTCAGTTATAAAATTTTAAATTTCAAAAATTGTATATATCGAGCAAATCAATAAATACTTGAAAATAGACAGTCCACATAACTTGTTACAAGATGCACTATTATTTGGACTTGGAATTCTTTTTTTTCTTCATGTCCATTCATCTCGATGCCAAGATGATCACTTGGGAGGTTCTCCAACACCGAAACACTCTCCTCTGTAGGATTTTTGAGGTGCACTTTACTTCAACAGTATAAGGTTGCAACCTTATATAAACATTTTCTTATACATATATATATATATATATATATATATATATAAACCCGGTTCGGGTCTACTTGGACCCAACTCTGACCAAGTTCATAATCTATTCAATGCTTCTTCGACCCAGACCCAGATTCGGACCCATATCAAGTCGACCAGCCAGGTCAACAGGTCGCCTCGACCCAATTCCCAGTCATATCCAGCCTAAATTCCCTTAGAAGCGTATGGGATCGCTTGTCTGAGAGCACCCGAGTATATGTATGTATGTATGTATGCATGGATGTATAATGCAATTTACCATTAGAATGGCTATTTTAGAAGTTTCATTTCACTCAAGTACCTCCTCAAAAATTTTGTTTACAATACCCAAAGTGTTCCTCTTCAGTCTGTGGAAGCCTGAATAAGTAGGGGCATTATGATAATTTGAGCCACTTAAGTGTTGGAGATAAAGGAAGTGAATACCCTCGCTTGCTCAAATCAAGAAACTCATAACTCAATTTTTCCATTGGATATGCATGCTTCAAGTTGCTAACTCTAACAATTACGGTAATTTAGTCATTAAACTCAAAATAAGTGGCCTGAGAAAAACGATAGTTCAACCCCCACTTGATCAGGTTTAAGAACTTGGGACTTCTTTTTTTCAATGAAGATCCTTGTTCCGTGATCCTAAGTCTGAAGACTCCGAACAAAGAAGAGTATCATTGTCAATGCTCTTTCTTTTTCAAATTTTCCTGAAGAAGTTAACAATTGAGGTTGCATGTTAACATTAAATTGAAAAAAAAAACCATACTAG